CATAAAGTCACAAAATTCAGAGAAATTTAATAACTGGTTCATAGTTTTCTATTCAAACCAGTTAACAGTTAAGACAAGGTTTCCATCCAGTCCCAAGGTTATTTGTTAATGAAGTAGAGTCTCATCAAGCAGTAGTTCTGCACTCCATAGCATTTCTACATAAAAACACTGTTCTTTAATAAGGGCTGTAAGCCACTGGTTAAGAGTTACCTAGCTCTTTCCCTTATCCACTTATTCCATTTGCTCTATCACATTCCCATCCACTCACACCTCCCTCAGTTTCCATCCACTATCTCACTTACCCTTGAATGCCAAATCACAAGAGCAATGCTTTTAAATAGCTTTAAAATTCATCCCAATTCTGTCTTGTTCTCTCTCTCTCTTAGGATGCAAATGTGCGCAGCATTTAAACTAAATTCTTGCCCACTGAATCTCTACTTCACACCATGCCCTTATGCATCTATGAACCAGAGCACAAGCCATCACTCCTATATTCCAGAATGTAGTCCCTACTAGCTGTTGTTTAAGAGGCACAAGCTCCATCAAGGTTTATTGCTCTATTTACCTTCTTTAACTCTAACTTCTTTCAACAGTTTCCCTGCAACTTTGCCTATGGTGCTAAGATCCAGCCAAGCCAAGCCTGTGTACCCTTCCTTATTCCTAGTGCATCCATATTTCCCAAATCTCACCTGTTACCTAAGCTCTTCCATATTTGTAATTCCAAGTCTTTTTTTCCTAACAATTTCCTATCTTTAATATTTTACATCAATTGCTTTCTTTCTTTAACAAGTTTTTAGCCACAGTGTTTAATACCTGGATCAATGGCATCCTCACTGGAATTATACCCTACAGTACATTATATATACTTGGAAGTTCTGATAGACTCTATCCAATGGTAAGTAACCACATAGCTCCAACTTTCCAACCACTTCAGCAGTAGAGAGCCTACTAAACACACAGTACTTTGTGTTACCTAAATTGAATTCAGTAGTTTTCCCGAGTTGCACTATATTTTTAAGATGACAAAGGTGTCAGATTCCCCTGGAGCTGGAGTTACAAGTTACTATGAGCTACTTGATGTGGGTGCTGGGAACTGAACTTGGGTCTTCTATAAGAGCAGCAAGTGCTCTTAACCATAAGCCACATCTCTAGCACCGTACTTTAGTTTTTCATGTTTTTGTGGGGACCTGTGCCCATGAAAGAAATACTGATCAATTTTAAGTGACACATTTCAAAAGCAACTCTTTTTAGTAAACCAGTATTTTATTTTAATAAAGCACACCATTGCTACTCATGGGGTTTATCTGGGGATGCTTTAGAAATACCAAGCTAAAGTTTATTTTCCCGCAAAGAAAGATGCTGCTGCTGTCACAGATACAATTTACCAAAATTAGTTTATCCCACAATAAACCATCATACCCACAGGAAGTGTCACTGGCCAGATCTGTATGCTGCAGAAGTGAGAGACAGATTCAGGTACCATGAACACATGGGCATTGGGAGAAACATATTTGTGGTAGTGTGGACATTTTCAACCAGCTCAAACTAAAATAAGCACTGTTCTTATGATTCACAGTATAAGAATCTTAACTGACTATGATTTAAAAGGGCAGACTGTGCATAATGCAGATGTTTTGAGGCTAGGCCAAAATTGCTATCCTTGCTTGACCTTTTGAGCCTCAAATCAATAACAGGCCCTGACTATGTGAAGAAAATTAGATTAATCTCAGCCACAAATACCCAACAACCATAAGGCCAGGCCTACCCATGTATCTTTTTACCTGTCCACCAACAATGTTATACACGTCAAAACATTAGTATGCTTTGAGCATTCACTTCATGTCAGACACCGCATGAAATGTTTTATACATATTAAACTTTATAACAATTCTATAAGGTCATTACTGTTAAGATGCACATTTTGTGGTACTGGAGAGGTGGCCCTATAGTTAAAAGCCTCTTACAGAAGACCTGAATTAGATTCTAGCATCCAGATGGTGACTCACAACTATCTATACCCCCTGTTCCAGGGCATTGGACACCTGCCTCTGAGCTCTTCAGGAACCAGACTTACATGTAGTCATGCAGACAAGCAGCAAAATATTCATACACATAAAATAAAGTAAATATTTTTTAAAGATTTCTATTTTTTTCAGATGAAGAAATGAAGGTTTGGATGTTTACGTAAGTAACATCCAATTTCAAATAGTAGATGGACAAGGATTTGAAGTCTGAAATTTTCTGACAAAATTTTCTGACAGATTCTATACTCTGTTATGTACAAGAGCAGGATTTGTTTTCTTCAAAGTCAAGAGGAAGTCTCTGGCAATTAATATATTTCCACAAAGCACTTACAGGGTTTTATCAAGTTAAATGTCAGATGAATTCACAAAACAAACAAATAAAAACAGAATTATTTTACCAAAATTTTCATGCTAACTGTGAAATTGAAAATAGGATGGAGAAGCTAAATCTGAAGCACAGAAAAAGAGGGTGAGCTGGCAAGGCAGATTCTTTCTAAGCCCGGCAAATGTGCTCACAGCAGTGTCAGGGCCAGATACCACAGAAGACCCTAAAGGGAAATCTCAGTGGCCACCATTAGTGTGTACATTCATCTGCAAACAAAAATGTCAAATGATCACAAATATTTCACTCAGCTGTGAACAAACAAGGATTTTGCCATTTACAGAAAAGCACAGAAAACATGTGACTTGGTCCTGCATTTAGTATCAAGAAGGAAGGAATTCAATGACTAAGATGTTATAAGTAAACAACCAGTTCCTCCAAGGAAAGAGAAGGAACTCCAAGGCGACAGCATCACAAGCCAAATTCACAGCAAGGCTCTAGCCAGGACCCTTAGCAGGAAAGCTTATGGCATGGCATTCAGCCATCATTTCTAGTTTTACTAGCTAAAATCTAGATCTCACCACTTTATTTTTTAATCAAACAAAAGCCAGGATTTTTTTTTAAACTCATAACATTGTGAAGGCCTTGCGAGAGGCAGTAAAGCCAGAGAGACTGGTATAATGAGAATGTTGGTTTCTTTAAAAACACAAAAATATTATGGTTATATGTTTTTGTTTTAATCCCAGGTATGGGATATGGGGCTGCTTCAGATTGATCATAGCAGCTATGATTTATCTCATGCTCAGGAAGGGGCGTAATTTTACCAGCTGAAGCTAGATTACATTTGGAATTCTGGGGACTCTTCAGAGGGTCTAAAAAATGCCAGAGCCCCTTGAGAGGACATTGCTGCTCCCCTGCTGCTGCTGTCTGCTGAAGTTCTTGTAAGCAATGAGATAAGAAGAAGAAATTGGAAATCCTGATGATACATTTCAAACTTGCCCCAAAGGAACTAGATGCCTCTAATCAGCAAGAAGTAGTCTAAGGAGAATCTATCCTTCTGTTTCTTTCTATAAGGTTGGAGTAGGAAGGTACATAAAGGAACCCAATAAAGTATCCCAAAGTATGGTTACAGACTGGATGATTGTTGAATTTGGAATGAAATGCAGATAAAGCTTTGCTTTCATTTCAAGGAACTATCCTTAATAATTCAAACTTTGTTGGGAGCCGCGGCAGGTGCTGGCAAAGTCCGCCATCGCTAGGTGGCGCTGTCAGCCATAATTCTTCCTGGTAAACAAATAAAGTGCGCATGTGCCATGGTAAAGCCCGCCAAAGCTAAGCCCATCCCACGGCGTTTGGCGCGCTACGAGTATACAGCCAATCAGAGATGATTACGCCGCTCTAGGGTATATAAGGGCTTTTCCCAGGGCTGGGGGTCGTCTTCTACCACCATTTTGGTTTATGGGAATAAACGTGTTTCTACGGAAGGATTCTGGTGTGTGTGTGTGTGTGTGTGTGTATGTTTTTGCCAGCGAGACGACTACACGTGCGCCCCTCACAAAACTTGAAGCTATTATAGTTATATGACCAGAGTTGAGTCATAGCGCTCACAAGGTTTCAGAAACAAGCCACCTAGAAGCACCCGTACTCCTTTGAGTATCTTCTAGGATTACTTTTTCAAGTCTCATACAACCTAATTAGAACTCTCCCAATGTACTCTTAGGTCCAGGTTCTGAGGAAAAACATTGTTATTATAAATTTAGCTTTGATTTCTTGATATTATTTTTGGACACCTCAATTCTAGCAGCCTCAAGGGTAAAATAACTTGCTTTGTTTTCCTACTAATCGGCCCAGCCCTGTTTGGCATGCATCATGCTGGCTTTGCTAATGGGGTATTGGTCACAATAAATTAACTGAGGCAGGCTCCTAGCCACAAGTAAATGCCTCAGTTACACAAAATTGTTAAAGAGGTTAAAGGTTCTGACCCTTTTCAATGACACTTTCTGATGAACTCGAATTATGTTTTCAAGTGTGCAAGAGAAAACAATAGCTCAGCATTCCAAGCAGTTAAAACAAAATGTGCCCAAGTAAATATGTGACTTCGTAATATGTTTTTCTGTCATGGTTTTAGATATATACCTCTATGTCTGTGAAGCACATCGTAAGAGTGAAAGGCAAATCTGAGCTCAAAGATGCATCCTGCCTGCTTGATTTTGAGGAAAATGGCACCTTTATATTTCCTATAAAATGAGGATCAGAATCTTCAGTTATGTTGATTAACATGTCTCAGAGGGATAAGGGAATCCATCAAGGTAACTCCAGTTGTAAGGCTATGAAGAATCTACTCCATGATAAGCAGCCACAGGAGAGGTAAATAAAATGTAGAATGTATGTATGTATATATTAATATATATTCTATATATTTAAATATATGTTTATATCAAATATATATTTATATATACATATGCATTTATAATTATGCTTATATAATACATGTGTTTATAATATATGTTTATATTTATAATTTTTACTTAAGTGAGGTCTCCAGAAGAGGAGAAATATTGTAATAAATGATGCCAAAGTTTCTTAGAAGCTTGATCTCTGATAGCACTGTCTGGAGGCTGTTGACTCCCAAGAGGACAGCGCCTCTGCCTTACCTGCACAGGTTTTCCCGTCGTAGGTCTCGCACACCCACTCATGGCACTCACACAGTAGCCCGAAGTAGGTGCCAGGTTCAGTCACGTGACAGATGCAGACTCCACACTCACACCTGCCACGGTCATGGCACAGAGCGCTCCCTGGGGGCTGCCCAGGTGCACGACATCTGCGTTCGGACTCCGCCCGGGACAGCCTGCAGGGGGCGCCCGACAGGCTTCTGCAGGAGATAGAGAGGCCACAGCTAGACCACAGTCAGACACAGACCCCGCCCCTTCTCCTCCCAGCCCACACTGTGGAAAAGAAGCCTGCACCCTCATTTCTCTGTGGGCCATGCAAGCCTCTGAAGGGCTGTTTTAAACATGACTAAAAATAGCACCTTCCAAGTAGACAGAGGCGACGGCCTCTTGCTCCTTGGCGGATTGCCACTGAATCTTAAATGCACATTTTGATTAAATGCAAATTAGTCTAAAGTATGATACTTGGCTGGCTTTTTGTTCTTTCTCTGTAAAAAAAATACCCATTACTATATAATAGCTGTAGGGAGAGTATTTGGTAAAAATAAAGAGAGGAATGTGTGGAAAAAAGTTTAGCATACCATACATATGATAGGAAGTAATGCTTTTAAATGGTGCTTGAACCAGACCTTAAGTAGTCTACGTTTTAAAAGTTGGAACGAAACTTGCTGCCTCTTTCAAAATGTAATACAAGGTGTGACAGGGCCATCAAGCAGGTGTTATATTAGAAAGTGGAAATAAAACTGCCTTGCAGGCTATAAGGTGAGACAAGTGTGCATAAGTACATCTTTGACTTGAGGTAAAATAAATAAATAAATAAATAAATAAATAAATAAATAAATAAATAAA